AGACTAAATCTTTCCTTTGCACCCATTACACCTGTCCCCCTCATTAGAAAGCTATTCCTTAGAAACACCGCACAGCTACTCGATATAGGTAGACTGTCTCATTACGAGTATGGAGTTAAGGTAGATTATAACTGTTTTTGTTTTCTTCTGGGAGGGAATGCAAAAATTGAGATTTGATACCGTCAACATACCTCAACTGATTGCGGAGGTGCTGCTGCAGTGTCGTTGAGAACGATAGAATCAACCAAGCTGAGGCGCCGGCATAGATGTCATTGAAGACGTTGTACAGTAAGTAGAACACCTTCAACATAAGATGGTATTATTCCAATCGCTTCCCCAAGTTTCGTGATTATTCTCAAAGTTCGTCCTCATTAAATTTTGACGTTCTTTGAATCTATGTAGATAATCTTGTGTGCCTGCTCATACGATCTCGATCGTCGAAGAAAGCAATATAAAAAAAGAGTATAGATTTACTCTTGAAAAAAAAACTGTTGAACACTCACCCTGGTATTCAGGTGGGGTTGAATGAGAAAAGCATACAAAATATATAAGTAATATGCTATTTCAATAGCACACGTGACAACTGAGACGATTGTGAGATTGTTCTCCTGACGCTGCTTTTCCGACAACACCTTCTGATTTAAGGAAGCACAGTATGAGGCAGATTTCCGCTAAATGAAGTTGCATTGTGCAAGCTGATCCGATGGCTCAACTCCTCAGTTTCAATCAGTTTTGGAAATTCTGCATTTCTATCTATTAGGTTGTCTCATAAATAGTGTCGCTTTTTTTCAACCAAAAATTTTCATCTAAATCCCATGCTTTTACATCGTCATATACCATTCGAAAGAGAATTGTCTGCTCTACAAGATGCTATGTTCCTCTTCCACCTCTGTTCCAGGTTTTCAAATTTTAGGCCTGCGAAATGGGAGGTCCAGCCGACAAAAATTGACCAAACCGACAACTATCTCTAACTTTATCTTCCCTTGGGAGAAATCAATCAATGATGTACCCTCTACTTATGCATGACCTCTTCTAACATTACACTATTAGGTTTCCCAACAAGTCGCGTCGTTCCATTTCCAGACCTGGTTTTTCAACCAGAACTCGACGGTCGAGCACCATTACCTGAGATCTAGGTCGAAATTTTTTTATAGCCGAGACATTGAAAAACTAGTAGAATTTAAAGAACAAGTCATGACTAAGTTAGGAATGTACGCCTGGTTGATTTTCTCATCTTCTCAGGGATAATTTTTTCAAAGAAATGCGGTCACTTTCGTGGATAAAACACCTTATTCCTAAACACCTAAAATTCGAACTAATTCCCAACAAACATAAAACAAAACAAATGAGCGAATAGAGCAGAAGAAGTGCTCACAAAAGGAACACCACTCGATATGAAACAATGGCGTTTACGAGGAACAATTTTAATTTGAAAATTGCTATGGCTTATCGGTCAGCCAATTCGAAAAGAAACACGGCAAAGCTTTTTCGGCAACCTAAGAGTGGAATGTTCAGAAGAGGTCATGAGTAAGTAGAGGGTACATCATTGATTGATTTCTCCCAAGGGAAAATAAAGTTAGAGCTAGTTGTCGGTTTGGTCAATTTTTGTCGGCTGGACCTCCCATTTCGCAGGCCTAAAATTTGAAAACCCTGGAACATAGATGGAAGAAGGAACATAATATCTTGTAGAGCAGACAATTCTCTTTCGAATGGTATATGACTCGATGTAAAAGCATGGGATTTAGATGAAAATTTTTTGGTTGAAAAAAAGCGACACTATTATGAGACAACCTAATACTTCCCTGATGCCCTCCCTCTTTATCGTAATCACTTCCTTCGAAAACACTCTCATTAGTAGAGGAAAAAGATTGGAAGAATGTGGTCTGATGTTCAAGTGACCATCTTCAACGAGGAAGACTTATGATTGTTTTTGTTTGCTCTCCTGCCGTTTGTGTTTTTTAATGTTCTGTACACAAAATTTACTTACCAGTCGATATTTTCTTTTGAGTGTAATCATCATTGTAATATTTATTATAATAATGGCAACTACGAAAAACGTATCCAAAGCATAGGCGAAGTTGAAGTACTTCGCACGGAAATTCAAGTCTTCAAATTGGATGTAGATCCTAAAGTAGAGAACAATATCGCAAATAATTACAGCCTATTCTTGGTCATTCCCTTCTCCTTCAATGACAGTTTTTGGATGTAACAGAAAAGATAGAAGGAGCACGTTACTGATCTAGGTCGAAATTTTTTATAGCCGAGACATTGAAAAACTAGTAGAATTCAAAGAACAAGTCATGACTAAGTTAGGAATGTACGCCTGGTTGATTTTCTCATCTTCTCAGGGATAATTTTTTTCAAAGAAATGCGGTCACTTTCGTGGATAAAACACCTTATTCCTAAACACCTAAAATTTCGAACTAATTCCCAACAAACAATTAAAACAAACAAACGGGCGAGTAGAGCAAAACAAGTTCTCACAGTAGTTACCCCACTCGATATGAAACACTGGCGTTTACGAGGAAAAATTTTAATTTGAATATTGCTATGGCTTATCGGTCAGCCAGTTCGGAAAGAAACACGGCAAAGCTTTTTCGGCAACCTACGAGTGGGATGTTTAGAAGAGATCATGAGTAAGTAGAGGGTACATTATTGATTGATTCCTCCCGAGGGAAAATAAAGTTGGAGCTAGTTGTCGGTTTGGTCAATTTTTGACCTCCCACTTTGCAAACCTAAAATTTGAAAACCATGGAACAGAAGAGGAAGAAGGACAAAATACCTCATGGAGCAAACAATTCTCTTTCGAATGGTGTATGACATTTTGTAAAAGCTCAAGGATTTAGAAGAAAACTTCTTGTTTGAAAAAAAGCGACACTAATTGTGAGACTACCTAATACTTCCCTGATGCCCTCCCTCTTTATCGTAATCACTTCCTTCGAAAACACTCTCATTAGTAGAGGAAAAAGATTGGAAGAATGTGGTCTGATGTTCAAGTGACCATCTTCAACGAGGAAGACTTATGATTGTTTTTGCTTTGCTCTCCTGCCGTTTGTTGTTTTTTAATGTTCTGTACACAAAATTTACTTACCAGTCGATATTTTCTTTTGAGTGTAATCATCATTGTAATATTTATTATAATAATGGCAACTA